TTTATTAAGTATTTTTATATAAAAATGAAAGATATTCCAAACTAAACTTTTCATTTTTAAAACGCAATATCTCAGAAAAAAAGTAAGTATGGCTTTTTCATTATTCTTTCCTAATTTATTACTACCTAATAAGCTAGAAATCATCCTAATACTGTATTTATACTCACAGTAATTTTCTCGACTTTCAAGTTTGATATCTCGAAATAAGTAAAGTTAGGATTTTTTTCTACTTTTCCCGTAATCAGCGATCTTGATTACCTCCAAAGACACCTTTTGGACCAAGGGGACCAATAATTCGTACTCAAGCCTTTTTATGAATGTGTGTAAGACAGTAGGTTCATTATAAAGGATTATTTCTAAAAAATAATGAGGAATACCTTGTTGATACTATAAGGTATCAAGTACTTGATTCACAACAAACACGAGAGTTTTGTTACTTATTTTGTACTTAATAGTAACCAACATCTTTGATAGAAAACTAACAAAAAAAACGAATAAAAATTAGTGACGTGCAAAATTTTTTACTGATTAAAATGAATTTTTTTTAATTATTCCTTATTGTAATATTACATTAATTTTTTGCTTTTTTAGTCGTTCGAATTATGAGACTCATTCTCCAGCTTACGTGCTTAAGTTCTTTGGCTCCCTTATCTGAATTTTACGCTGGTATAATAACAACTGTTAAAATCTCTACAGTTAGTAACACCGTATTTTTACATGTCCATTATCCTTCTCTTCTTAAAACAGGTATGTTAAGAAAACAACTCTCTGCGATACTTAGTGCCCACCTCCTTAGTCCTAGTTATATACAAAGGAAAGTCACTAAGCCCGTTGTAATCGCTAACCACGAGAACTGCTCAAGTGATCTTGGTGAAATTTTGCATACCGATTCTTGGCACTTCCTAGATGGTTTTCGTAAAGTTTTTATCTTGATTAAGTTAATAATAACAGCAATAAATAAGCTTAAAGTTTTGCAAAAATACGCTTGATTTCAGCTTCAGTTTAGTTGATTTTGCTAGGTGGCGTCACAGTAAAATAAAAACAACCTGGAACGAAATTAAATAAGAGTTGTTATGATAGGCCCAAGCAACATATTAATTACTCCGTCTTTTATCGTCAGTGAATGAAGCCTAGAGCTGGGAGTCATGAAGCTGAGAATTTCGAATCCCGAATACCGACAACACTGTTCTCTACTGGGCAATTGACTTACGTCGAACAATAGGCATATAAAAAATTCTTATATATGTCTATGCGTTGAACTCCATCTAAAAACACTAAGATTGATGAATGTCGATAACGATAAAGCTGTCTAACTGCATACGTCTCCGGCTAAATACCAAATGTGTCTAGCCAAAGCACAATCTGCTTTAGTTTAGTGGGGATTCGTGGCCAGTCTTTCAACCATCGTGGGGCTACCAGAGCAAATTATATTATAACAGCAAACCAGAGGAAAAGTAACCCTGAGGAGTTGGGGTAGTAACAATAGCCTCTTCAGTGGTTCATAGAAACGGCATCTCTACAGAGAAGGATTTCTCCAGGCCCACTTTCCTGACTACTAATAAGTGGTTGGTTATCTGAAGAACGACCCGAAGACGAGATATTCTTTGGTCAGTGGGTCCATGCGGGGAGACGCTAAGAGTTATAGTCAAGCTACCCACACAGCCGGCTCTCCATAATCAAGAATAATAATAAGAAATATCTAGAAGTATCTCTACTGGTTCTTTTTAGGGCAATCATAAGTATTTACGTTCCCTTCTTAACCATCAATCTCATCGGTTCTTTTTTAGGGCCACCTAAAGTTAAACTACCTTGCCAACAAATACATGTTAACTACGGTTTCCAGTAATAATTTATCGACTTAAAGACTATGCAAAGCCAGCCACTAATAAACCAAGTCTATCATTCACTGGCAGACATCACGAGCGGAGTGGTTCTTTGTAAGGTAGGGAACTCTAGCGACTGACGACCTTACATTACTCACTTTACTCTATAAGCATTCAACCAGAAATTACCGATGCTCTCCGAGATCTGCACTGGGTAAACCTAATAGCTATGAAGTAAAAATAAACTTCATAAAACGGGATGGTCTCCAAGGGGCAAGCATAATGAACCAATTTCCCCACCTTAAATTACTTAAACAACTGAGCCTGAAAAAAAAAGTGCTTAAAACACCAACGGCTTTGGCGTAATACTAGGAGACATTAAAAAAGAGCTCTACAAGTAGCTCTAACACTTCAGACGTTGTAGTGTTCCTCACGATTAGTCTGGTGCTACAACAGCAGGTCAGAGAAGATCACCTCAAGGAATCCAGGCAGTCACGTTTGCTGGAAATTTCAGTCGAGAAAGAGTTTAGATCACTGGTCCTGTTTAGAGCTATTGGACGTTGAACTACCTTGCCAACAACTACATTACAACGTAACAAAGTTGACAAAAAACAGCCTTTAGAGCTCACAAAAGTTTTAACCATGCCTATAGTCACAAGAGAGTAAATTGGAAAGAAAATAGTAAATGCATCAAATGCTTAAAATTTTTGGCTTCATGAAAATGACGCAGAACATGTATCGAGATTAAAACAGCAGCATAAAAATTGACCAATAATATTGATTGTACGGGAGAAATTGCAAATCAACGGCTCTTTAGGGCCAATGATTATTTTATAGAATAAGCAACACACAGTACGTTTCAGCATGATTATATTTATTTCACTTTTTACAGTTTATTGTTTGATCAAATAAACTGTATGGTTTCTAAACAAATATTTTTTTAAGAATAAAATTTTTGTTCTGAGAAGTATCAGGAATAGATGTAGAATTTTTAACTGAAAACGTTTTACATTACATGTCATCTCTACAGTGTTCCATTTAGTGAGCCTCGGGCGAAGCCGGGAGGGGGTGGGACTACTAGTGCTCTATAATAAGATAAGCTGATTATTGTTTATTGACCATATCTTGGTAATTATACATTGAATCCAAATTTCGTAAAGAACTTTTCAAAAGCTTTAAATAGGTTTTTTCTCGTAGTGTAGTTCTTCTGGATAAGTATTAGAACACCATGCTTGCTTGTAACAGTAATTGAACAATTAACAAACAATGAGTAGATAACATAAAAACAAAGCGCGCCCAAGTAATGAGTTTATAAATAGCTGTATTCACAGTCTACCTACTTACGCTGAAAGAAGTTAATGAAAAAGCTTGATGATCACTTTTGCATACTAAACATCTTGTTTATTATAATTTTAGTGTTGCGTCACTTATTCACTGCTACAAATCGTTACAGAGCATACAAACTACCGTTTTATTAAAAAAACACTAAAAAAGTATACAACAAAACATCCATTTCCCTTACATACTTAAAATTTTAAAATCCAAACTTAAAAGTAAAAACTGTACACAGGTGCTGTGGCAGACTTTTCGAACTCATTTGTTAGGCACAATCGCACTACATGATGCTTGTCCATGAGATAGTCTTACAAATTTTTGTAATTTAGCTTAGCATTTGTTTTTAGAAGATTAAGACTACTATAGTACTTTTTGTAAGTTTTTTTAGAAGTTGAACAAGTGAAAATTTCCATATCTACTTGAAACTTTAATCTTTGATCACGTACATTCAATTCAAGCAAATTAATTTTGTATCATGAAATTAAAAAACTTTGCTGATTACATAGTGGCAAGCTACATTGCTAATTCCACCTATACTTTATTAAATCAATTTGAAAGTAATTTCCTTCTTATTAAGATCATGAATCCAATCTGTTTCATTCTTGTCTGTTACTCCATTATTGCACTCCGAACTATTTATTACTGCACTCACCTGAGTCCTATATTGAAAAAACTTGAAAGTATAAAAAGTAGCTTTCTACCTAATGAACGTAACCTTTCATTATTATATCATTACTTTACCAAACTTTAATCTTACTTTGTTAATTTTTTTTTAACAGAAAACATTTCTGTTAATAATCATTCTTACGTACGATAGTATATGCGTACGTGCGCCTCCACTGGCTTGGGCCCAAAAGGTAGGGGAATAGAGAAGAGAAGTAATCGAAAACGGAGAGCGAAGGAAGCGAGTAAGTTAAAGATCAGCTGAAGACATAAGATGAGAAGGACCAGGCCCATGAGATTAAGACACACGCGCAACCTCCCTCGAATATAAGTAGTTCTAATAAAGCATAAGTTTACCACAAGTTTACCTCTTATTTATTCCCGCATCGTAAAATCCACGTAACATTACGGTGTAAGATACATAAAATAAAAAATCTGTAGTATAATTTTGAGATCAATTTTACTCAACTGCAAGCCATTTTTCAAATTATCTAGACAGTAATTTTAATAGTTTAAAATTATTTTTAAGTTGACGTACACACAGTTTTTGCACGAATCTTTTTGAATTGAAAGCGAAGCCTCATGAAACTTGTTGTTTAACTTTTGAAGCAATGAACAAATTTGCCAATCACGAAAAATGCTTCGTACACTAGTACATGCTACTTACAAACTGTAGTCTCTGTACAAAACTGCAGCATCAGAGAAGTTCCTAAGTAATTCCAGCTGATAATGGTATCTGGTAGAGGGTGCATAAACTATCTAAATACTACTAGGTAATGTACGAACATTTATTTGTTCTAAATAAAAATTTCACTGTATTATTAGAATGCTCAGTATACAATCTACGTTATCATCAACTATTTAAAACTTTTATTATTTTAATCCAAAATTATATCTCCATGAAGTCCTTAAAGTGCTTTAGGTAAAATGCTTATAACTAAATAAAGTAAAAGCAGAACCTTAGCACTTTCTTTCGATTCATATCTGACATCTACAAATCATACACAAACAACAGTAAAAAAAGATATATATTTTAAAAAATGGTACGCGTTGAACGTTAAAATACTAAAATATAAATAAAGTTTAAGTATCTACAAACGTTGTCCTACTTTAAATTTCTTATTGAAAAGAAAAATGTTTTTTAACGCCTGGAGATGAATATTTTTTTTGGTGTTGTAGTTTTGATAATGAAAATGGAGCTTCAACTCTGGATGGGGCTGCAAGCGGAGGAGGTTGTACCTCACCTAGTACTGGTCTTGTACTTCAAGCGATGCCCCAGAGACGAGAGAGCTTTCTGTACCGTAGTGACAGTGACTTTGAGATGTCGCCAAAATCTATGTCTCGCAATAGCTCTATCGCTAGCGAAAGGTAAGCCTATTTTTTGTAATTTCTCTTAAAAATTTTTTTCAACTCTCTGTGTAAAGGCGTAGGTTTGTGTCTTAACATAGTACATATATATGATAGTAAAAACTGTATTTTATTGGTTGCCTTATAAATACTAAGAAAATCTTACAAAGCATAGTACAGTTTAGTCAAAGATATCATCATAAAAAAAGTAGGACAACTTTAGTATGGCTAGTTTTAACATTTTTTTTGGTATACTTTGCTTCATATGACCACAAAACTACAGTCTTGCAATCGACCTAAGTGGCAATACCAGAAAAAACGAAAAAAAAAAATCTTATCTGAGTTTGTCACTGCTGAAACTTAGTTGAATGATAAATTATATAATAAATTATCAAAATGTATCAGTCTTGCTACCCACTGATGAAACGACGTTAGTCTTATACATAAAACGCAGGGTTATAAACAAATTACAAGCGTGTGTACAGATGACACAAAAAAATACCCATGAAACTTTCTTCTAGTAGTGTCTATTATATAACACGTTTAAGCGCGAACTTAAAAGCTCTTGCCTCGTCAATATTGCTATTATCCATAGTTCACATAGCTCGCCACTACCTTAAGCTTACTTATAATTGCCTAGTTGTGGATACAGTATAACAAAAATCTTTTAGTTATCCTAGACATTGTATAGTTTTCGATATTTTTTGTTAAAGCTCGAGAAGTGCCTTCTTTATTTCAGGAAAGTTACAACCTACAAATATATAAATTTGGGCATCATTGCTTTAATTAACAAAAATCTGTTATAATTTTATCCGTACATTAAATTCTCATGCCTTGGTGCTGTTTCATTGCCACTGAAAGATATTTGAACGTTGTTTTAAATAATTCAAAAGACATTTTGCTTTACTACCATGTAGAACTTTAATATAATTTATTTACATTACTACTTCGAACTTTTAAAATTTTGTTGTCTTGTGGAAGGCCTAATACTTAAATTTGTTTCCAAATAAATAAGCTATTGTTTGGTTCTTTTATTTTTTAAGATCTCGTTAACTATATTGCAGGTATCTAAGAAATAAAATGCCTTAATTTACTGAATGCAGTAAAATACATCCCCATAAAAAAACTAACTTTTGTATAAAGGAAAAGGTTAGGCGAGTTTGATGTGTTTCAAATACATCCAAAATAATCATGTTTACAAAACTAATAACGTTATACAGTGAAACAAAAGTTATTTTCATAGCAAAGACTANATCCCCATAAAAAAAAATACTTTTGTATAAAGGAAAAGGTTAGGCGAGTTTGATGTGTTTCAATTACATCCAAAATAATCATGTTTACAAAACTAATAACGTAATACAGTGAAACAAAAGTTATTTTCATAGCAAAGACTACAAATATTTCCAAGTGTTTCAGTTAAAATGTTTCTAATGCTACTTATTTGAAAATATTTGGCGAAACAAAATATTTAAAAAGTAATAAGATCAACAAAGATAGTTAATTTTGTTGCCACGTCAAAGAGTTATCATAAAGATGAAATTATTCATCACTAGTATGAATATCATAATTAAAATATGTAATTAAATAAAAAATTTTTCACAAAATAATTGAACGTTTGAAAAGTAATGAGATCAGTTAAAATTAGTCAAGTTTACTGATACATCAAAGAGTTGTAATTTACTAAAAATTATTCAGTATTAAAATGAATATCTTTATAAAAATATCTGAGTGCAGTAAAAATTTTACAAAACGAAATGGAAGATTTAGAAAGTAATGAGATATAAAAGAAATAGTCAAGTTTTTGACATTACACATATTGTAATACTTAAGTAAGGTATGTATTAATTTTCATAATACTTTTAAGGTACTGAATAACAAATAGTCAAGCCTAATGTTTTATTTTCATTATAAAAGCAAAAAATGTCAA